AGAGTTAAAAACATTGCATTCTCCCTCACCGCGTAAAACCCAATACTGCTCACCCTCTGAACAGACCCTGCCAAGTACGCTTTCTAGTGGACAGACAGCCTAGGCAGCAGCTCGGACACATAACAGCAAGCCCTGCGTGAGAAGGCCAGTCCCAGCCTTCGGGACTTCCAGGGCAGACCTGGCCCAGTGCTGCACTGGGGAGACCTGCACCGAAACCCTCTTGCAGCCAACAGCAGCAGCCCAAGTGGGAAAAGCCCTTAGGAGAAACTAAGCAAGAATAGCAGGAGGTAGCAGGGAAGCTCTGAAAAGGTGCAAGCCTCTCCCCTCTTCTGATAATAAAACTCCACTAGTAGGCAGACCAGCTGGAGCCCTCTGAAATCCCCTCCTTTCACAGCGGCTTCTCCATGGGGCCATGCCAGCTGCAGCTCAGCCAGAGGAGAGAGGACCTTCGGGAGAGCCTGGATCTCACCCTGGCTCCAGCCTTTTCAGGAGCAGCCACGGATGGGGAGTCCTGGGTGGGCAGGCGAAGCTGCAAGCAGGGCTGGCACAGTTGTGCAAGGGGATGCAGAGATGCCGTGGTGGTTCACCCACACCTTGACAGAAGAAACTCCTCTCCACGCTCTTTGAGCTCTGCCCTACAAAGCAGCCTGTGTGCCTCAGCAGCATCCTGCACACTGCTCTGGGATGGACCCTTCTGAATAGGGCTGTAGACCTGCCCCCAGTGCCAGGACTGTCACCGTATGGGGTGGATGCCTTAATGTACACACTACAGCAGGGCAGCGCCCCAAAAGGAGAAGAAACGGTATCTGAAGAGCCAGGAGCAGGCACTGACCTCGAGCTCTGAGTTGATGGAGGCAGCATCAGAGGAGCTGGATGAGGAGAGCCCAGCGTGCAGTGCAGTGAGGGGGGGCAGACAGTGGGCTGCGGTGGTGCAGGGTGGGCTGTGCCCGTGTGTGCATACCTGGGCAACCTCACCGAGCAGTGCCCAGTCTGATGAGTGACAGAGGAGGACAAAGGGAGACATCACCATGGAGATGACCAAAACCCAGCAGCCAGAGTCATGCACAGCACCTCAGGGCTCACATTACAGCAGCAGCCGCAAGCTGCCGGGCTCTCCCTGCTGCACAGGACCACACAGATCTATCCACTCGCCCCACACACATCTGGGCACACACCCCCCAGCCATCTGTAGAGAGCCCATTCATTCACTGCCAGAAGAGCAAGGGCACCCCTGACCGCCGCTTCCCTCTCTTCCTGCATCCTACCCCAGCCCTAGGTGTGCATGGAGCCCCAGCAGCCTCCCACCTGCTGCACCAGTCTGATCATCAGGTCTAGGCAGTGGCTGGTTGCCACCATCCTGCACCCAGATTTGGGTTTTGGCAGCATGTTAAGCTGGGCCCAGTTTGCAGTCTGCAAAGGAGGGTGAACCCTGTCAGCTATGACCAGGGGAGATGCGCCCGCGCCACAGCCTGCGCCAAGGGGCACCCACGCCTGCCACTGTCCCCATCCAACAGCAGTGTTGCTCCAGCCACGCCAAGAACCAGGGACATGGGTGGGTGCAGGATGGTGCTGAGCTGACACATCCAGATCCTGCAGCCAGGCCCTCCCCCCCTCCCAGAGGGAGCAGGGGGGGCAAGGGACCCCTGCCAGCCTCCCCTCTTGCAGCAGCTGCTGGGGCCAGGGGAGCATCTGGGAACTGCAGACCAGTGCCAAGCTGCTCCCAGGTCAGCAGAGCAGGAAAACGCGTGTGGCCCTGTGGTAAGGATGATGTTCCCAGTGTCAGCTGTGCCCTGCAGCATGCAGACCCTCCGTACCCTTCTCCCACAGGGACCTGGCCTCCAACATCCCACCAGAGCAGTAATGTTGCTGAGCAGAGGGCTTCTCCTTTTTGCTCTTCAACTAGAGAAAATAAACCACCTCTTCTTCCCCTGCTCCCCCATCATCTTCCTCTCCCTCTCCAGCCAGGAGGGCCCAGGCATCGGGGACATCTGGTGCAACCCACCGGTCCATCTGTCTCTTGGCCACGCAGGCACGGAGCAGGAGCTGAGCCCCAGTTAAGGGTGTTTCTGGAGTGACAGCAGAGCCCCCTCCCCACACCAGTGCCGCAGCCTGGGCACCAGGACCAGGAGCAGAGCTGTGCCCCAGCCCCCTCCGCATCCCAGCTGACAGCCCCAGCAGAGGAGCTGGGAAAGGATACAGCTGCATCCAGCGCAGCGGAACCCAGGGCAATCAGGAGCCAGGGCAAGGCCCTCAGGAGGGGCGCAGGCTGCTCCGTGGGCATGGCTGCCCCCTGCACTGAGCTACCCAGAGCGTTTTGCAGTCACCTTTTGCAGAAAGCACCACAGAACAAACTCTGGATTAGGGCTCCCTAAACTGGGAAGAGACTCAGAGAATGGGAGCTCCGGCTCCTGCTCTGCAAGGGAGGAGAGCTGCAGTTCAGGCATGAGGTACTGTAAAAAGGGAGTTCAGCTTCAAACCATACTCCCTAGGTGCCTCTGCTGCAGGTGTCAGTGCAGCAGGTAACGGCTTAGCCAGAGAAACAAGCTGCTTGCATTAGAGAGCCGAGCCCCCCAAAAAAGGAGACAGACAGCCGGGGTACTGAAAGTGCTGTGGATCCCAAGAACAGAGCGGAGGTGGCCACAGCCCGCACACTCCCTCCGCGTGCACAAGGCGCTTCGAGAAAACAGCATTCCCGAGTGGAGACTTGCCTTCTGCGGAAAGCAAGGGGAACAGCAGCGGCTCATGGAGCAGGTGGCCGGGGCGAAGCACAACGTCCCCTTTGTGCAGGCTCCAACAGCAGTGCGGTCCCACATCACCAGCTGCTCGTGTGCACTGTACGGAGCTGTCGTCACGGCGTTCCGCGGCAGGGCGGGTGCGCTTCAGCAACAGACCAAGCCACTGCAGGAAAGCATTTGTTTAACCACAGCCCTCGCCCATTACCTAGCTTGCCCACTGCTCAATAATAAAATATTAACAAGCCTTTCGGTCCACAACTCTGTTTATGGTGGTTCTTCCATGAGGCGAGAGTCCTTTAGCACAGCAGGGGGCAGCCTGCATCTAACCAGCCTCAGCAAACATTATTTGCTTGGTTGTATCTACATTATCCTCCATTCCCTCACGCAAACACTGCAAGTGGTTTGACGGGTCTTGTAGACAAAGGTTTCTGTGAGCAACAGGTAGAGTCATCCCAAGTTTCAGGCCCTGGGGATTTCTGTTGCTCTCTAGATTTGGAAGGGTCTACACCAGGACCCAGCTCACCCAGTCATGAGGCTCACGGAGACCCAGCTGGCAGGACAGGGCTGAGACTGCAAAAAACTCAGGTATGTGCAACATGAACTGAGAATTAAAATAAGCTTTGAGAGGAGAGAAATAGAATAGGAAAGATATTTTAAACTTCAATAAGGGATACCCCAACTTCAGTCTGACAGGGAATTAGACAGATAATAGCTTCACACAAGAGAGGACAAAAAGAAACGGACACTTCTGAGCAATCAGTCCCCTAAAGTATTATAAGGGACGAAACCAGAAACCATCCTTTCCAAGGAGGGTAGGGAAGCCTGATCAGAGACCGATTTGATTAGGGCACAACCTCTTCAGGAACAAAGGCAAAAAAGAAAAAAATCACCTTCTGCAGGAGAAACAGATTAAAAGTCTCCCCGGAGAATCTACTTTCTACTAGGGTACCCTGACTTAAAATACCATTGACTGTATTCATTCAGTGCAAATATGCTTCAGCTTTCCAGGTGGCAGGAAAATCTCTTCCCTCCTGTGATGTAACAAAGACTTTGAGAGCAGGGACTGCAGGGGAAGCTGACGTCGAGGCAAGAGCTCTGCTGCCAGGGGACCCTCCGCATACACAGTGCGAACTGGCTCTACAGGACAAGCACACCAAGAGTCACAAAGGCAAAAGCAGCTTGGTTGCACACCTCGCCTCTGCTGTGGCTTTGCTCAGCAGTTGCTTTCATCTCTCCATCCACACTTAAAGCCTAGAAAGTACAAAATTACAAGACAGCAATCCCTTTTTCAGTATCAGAGACCAGCGTCATCTGTTACGCTGCTTCACCACCTAAACCCAAAGCGCCGTTCGTCTTCGCGAGCCTTTCCAGCCCCATCATTACTCCCCACGCTGACCCAAGCACATAAACAAACATTCTCAGAAGGGCGACCAAGGAGTAAACCTCACTTAAGTCTGACCCCGAGGAAGTACAGGCTTTCTGGCGTCACGTACGAACGTACGCATTAAGATCTGTTATTGTGACACTTGTGCAACTAGGTCGATGCTGCCCAACAGCCCAGTGAAGCAGAACATGACACCACGCAGCAAGGAAAATCTCAAAGATACTGAAGGACATAAGCACCAGATTTCTGGTCAGTCACACAGAGCTTATCTTTTAAAATACCAACGTGCAATCACGCAGAATAAGAACTGATACCAGCTCAGCATGAAGGACATAAAAGCAGCATTTTCCCTGCATGGTGTGCCATGCTCTGCCTGAGCTGGGAGACAGGGAATGGTTTCAGAACCAGATTCTACAGAATAGCACTGGTGGAGCAGAGGAGGAAGAGGGAAATAAAGACCCTTTTACCTCACCTTTCAACACACTAAAGTTCAGTGAAATCAACAAACAAGCTATTACAAAAGAAAAAGATGAGCAATAGTGTTTCAAAATGTAACAAAACATCACCCATTGAGATCCAACTGTTTATAAAGATTTTAGTCAGCTTCACAGGGCTTGCTTTGACCCCAACAGCTATAAAATACATCCTTTATGGAAGGAAAAAAACATCCCCTCATGGCTCCATCTGCTCCCATTGAGAGGATGTTTCAGCAGCAGTCAAACATCTGGGCTGGCTTCCAGATCACGCGAATGGCCAGGTCTCTTTTGCTCGCAGAAGGGACGAGCTCCAGCCATCAGAGCCCACTCTCATCAGGCCAATCCATAGTACGGAGCTCCCACGTAAGCTAGAGATGCCTGCTTATCTTCCTCCCAGTATCACAGCTAAGCCTCCAGGTGCTTAGTGATCCTGCGAATTTTCTCTTTCTTGTTCCTGTTTCCATGTTTTTTCCAGGGCTTTCCTACCACATTCCCAGGATTGGGCGTAGTCACAGGCATGAGGCCGCTGCCGGGCCGGTATCCCATTGCAGCCCGGACCCCTTTCATCAGGGCACGAACGTTCTCCTGGAAGAGGAGACAATCACCAGTGACCAATGAGAAGATTTTTAACCACAAGGAACAGCGATATGTTAATAAAACCAGACACAAGCAAGCTCAAACCCTTCAAGACCTGCTCAGCCCCTAGCTCCAGAGCTGCAGGAAAGGTCAGGGCGCACAGCTGAGCGTGAGCCTGCCGGCACGCTCCGGTCCTCTCTGCCACCGTGCCTTGCTGCATCAGGTCCTCAGCGCCTGCCACTGCAAGCGCAGGCAGAGCGCTGACGAGACAGAGCTCCGACAGACGGGAGCTCCGGCGCGAGGACCGATTCTCGCAGTCTCTGCTTTGCACACAACAAATTGTCTTTGCAAACAAATCTGGCGTCTGTGAAAGCCAGGGACTAAAATAACTTGCTCAAGTCTGGAGCGTGGGTAGCACTGCTGGGGCTCGCAGCTCGTGCCAGCACTTTGGGCAGCCAGAGGAAGAGTCTGGTAATCCCAAGAATTCATTTCAGGTCATAGTTTCGCAAAGCAGCTCGCTGGTTTTTGAAAAGAGCCTGGAGTTCACGTTTTCAAACTGCATTACTATCTTGAGCTGTGCAGAAACACTGCTCATACCCAGCTAACCAAACAGCACGGATCATGCTGTCTATGACCCATCCCCTTCACTGCTGAAAACTCTGCTCTGATCTCTGGCAGGCAGGCAGGCTTGATCATTTATGGATTTGACATTTCATTACAAGTCATTAATAATTTTTTTCAGTAGTGTAGGGACAAAACAGATCCCTGTGAGACCCAACAAGAAGCATACAGGTGAAGAAAAATTCCCATTTTCCACTTCATTTTGACATTTCTCAATTAGATTTTAAATCAGTTTGTACTCTTTCCATCTGATTTCAGGTTCTTAGTACTAAACCAGTTGTCTTAAAGAAGCTTAACACGATCCCTAAATACACCATGTCAAGAAAGGAAAGTTATTTTGAAGGACCTGTTAGTCCAAAACCATGTTCCTGGTGGGTTGCTGAGTCACACCACTCTCCTTGACCTTCTTCCCAGTCACTCTCCTGTTTGCTCAGGATTGACGTTAGGCCCATGATGACAAGGGTCACCCTGCTGACCTTTTAAAAGTCAGTTTTTAGCCAACTTGCGCACCTCATCAGCTACCCTTCAGTCATCTAGGACATTCCCAGTGATTTAGGAGATGATAAAAAGAACGGAGTGCTGTTGGGTAAAAATTAGAAGCAAATCCCATAGCATCTAACACCATTAACTCAACCCAGCACCCCTCCATCCTCAAAGCTATTTTTCCCAGTAACTATAACACACCAGTGTGGCAGTAAAAACTCCTAGAATAAATCCCCTCCACTATTTACCTGGTGGAAAAATGTTTTGTCCACCACATTTTCAATCTGTTTTGCTTTGGTATTCTTCTCAGGCTTCACCAGTCCCCCGGCCTGCACAGTTCTGCTCTCTGGGCATCGCTGATGCTGGTGCTGGAAATCATTTGGGTCAACGTCAGGAGGTGGATGGCAATATAACAGCTTCCCCTGTGAAAGCAGTGGGATACAGTTATTACCAATAAAAAACTCAGAGACACCTGCAGAGGAAAGAAAACAACTCCAAACCTAAAAGGGCCCTGGAAGTCCAGGAGCTCACACTGGCAGACTATCAGTACAACTTTTCACCCCCCAGGCAATAACTAGCTTGACTTCTAAGTTAAAGTACTGTTCCACCTCTGCTTCAAAGCACCATTTCCAGCTGCAATGTCCAGCTGCAAACAACACTGCAAAACTCTCAGGAGTACGGGAGGATCCTGTCAAGAAATACTCAGCAATAAGCTGCCAAGGGGTACTGCAGAAGCATGCAGCATTACACCACTCAGAACCTCAGCGCCAAATCCTGGTCCAACTACACCACATGAGTTTGTTTCCCAAGTATCTGCTGCCTGTTTTAGAGATATGATAATTTACTTTGCTAGCACCATATTTTTAAACAATGACTTTTTTAAGGTTAAGCAGCTTGAGAAATTCCATTTATTCTTTTAAAACACAGAAGTATCCCAATTTAGAGAGTATTTTGATATATGGTGATTTTTTCTAGAGAAACAGAATTCACTTTATTGTGCTCTTTCATGCTCCAGCAAAACATTCAATTTACCTCCCAGCAGGAAAGAAAGCCCAGGTGTAGGAAGCACTTACACTGACATAGTCTTTTAACACGTATCGAGCTGATCTCGGCTGGTCTGGCTGTCCATGAGCTGTCATAAAGCCTCTCATATCTGGAAGACAAATCCAAAGTACACTTTGTGTCAGTACAAGACAATTAATACATTCTTCTCTGCTGCCTAATTGCACATCTGTATCCTTTCTCAAGAAAAGCTCCCTTAGTAAAGAGGCTTCTGTTGGGGAAAGCAGGGAAAAAAGGGAATCCTGCTGCCTGCAGAGGTACTGCAGAAGCATCCTAACCTGAAAGGAATGACGAGAGCTGACACCTCCCTACCACCAGAAAACCGGCTTGGTTTTCACTTTTGTTTTAAGGCCAGGGAATATTAACTGCGTCCGTGAATCAGACGTGGGAGATGAACATTCACGGCATTCTTCAAAGCCCAGTTCAAGACAGTTGATGGGAGGTATCTAAAGGACGAGAGCACCACACTACACAGACTGTCAGGGCATTCCACCAACACCAACACAATTGCTGCATCTGTCAGACAAAACCAGCAAAGCACCACTGCAACAAACACGAGATCAGCGTTAACAAAGGCCCTTCCTGAGAGGAGGGCAAGTCCTAATGGGGAGGGCTGACGCATGACAAACCTGAGCTGGGCCTCTACGTTCTCCTAAGGCCATGTTCAGGACCACACACACAGCGTAAGTGATAGGTTTTAAAGGGATCACCACTCACATCCGTACGCTGTTAGGAGCTCTTCAGCTGTTGGCTTTCGATCTGGATCCTCATCTTCCCTTGGCCTTATGATATTTATTCCATAGGTTGCTTCCAAAATGTTTCGTGGGATATGCTGACAAACGTAAACTAGTGAAGGAAACCACCTGGTGATTTTCAGCTACACAAGTGATTTTGCCCTAGCCACTCCAAGAGCGCATATTAAAAATTACTTTTGGATTTTGTTGCAAACCAGAAAAACAACGCAAGTCTGACAACAAGGCAAACTCAAAATGAGATGGGGAAAGAACAGAGCAGAGCTGTTTTATCCAATGTGTGCCCCCACCGCATGAACACACGGGCCTCTAGCAGGGCTGGAACATGCTACGTTGCATACTCCGGATCCAACACTTCCAGATGCTCTCATGCAAAGGATATTAGAGAAATGGGTGGGACATGGTCCCTCATCTGGTCTATAGGCAGAATTCCAGAACAAATCATTTCCGCCTTGGTAGAGATGAAAGATGGCATCACCAGACCAGGGCAATCACATAGGCACAGGCCAGGTTCCACATACAGGGTCTACACAACAAGTAACCGATGAGTTCACCGCAGCAAGTCAGTGTCCATGGAGGAAAAAGGAACAAATTAAAAAAAAAAAAAAAAGCACAGATGCATCAAGGATGCAAATGAGAATAAGCAGAAATTCAGCTAACACAGACATCTGCCCTGCTGACCCCAGCTAATGAATTAGGGAAATCTGATGTGGAAGACAGCAGCACTTCCAAGGTTCATAGATAATGTGTCCAGGTGGAGGCAGCAAGATCTTCAGCTCTCCCGTCTGCCAGGGGAGGAGAAAACATTCCAGAAACCTTTAACTTTGTAGGACCCTTTGAAAGGGGTAGGAGATTGCACAAGTACAAATCCCACAAGGCTCACTATAGCACTGGGATTACTACCTCAAAATTAAGATCTTTAACGGCAGCAGAACTGGACTTCATCACAGTCGTTACTGAGACAAGAAGGATGGTGGGAAAAAACTTGACCATAAGCTATTCAGAGGAGCACTCACTTTTCAGAGGTTCTCTCCTCATGACTGGTGTTGAAAAAAAGGAGTGCCAAGCTACTTAAATAAAACCAGGAGATGGAAAACATCTCCCACGGCACAACAGCTCCTCACGAGTGACTCGCAAACTGCAGCAAGAGTTTGGAAGCAAGAGCTATAGTTACAAAATTATATACATCAAGCCCACCCTCTTCAGGCTAAACTCTGCTGGGCAGAGTTCAGGTTGGGAGAGTTCTCAGTGAGCCCATTAGGTTTCAGCTAGTTCAGAGAGAAGTGGTCTTCCACTGGAGGGAAAAAAAAAAAAAATCCCAAACCAAAAATAAAGAGATCAATGCCCTTTATTAACAATACCTGAAAGTGTTTCGTACGGCCTGGTGTAGCAGACACTGACACCTTCTTATTCCCAAGGATTGTGTTGATGGTCGAACTTTTGCCAACATTAGGGTAACCTACCTACATGACAAAGTGGAACGCTGATGGTTATATCAGGCAGGGTGACGATAGAAGACTGGCAGAGCTCTGAGACTAAAGTACTTCAATAAAACATACCAAAAAAAAAAAAAAATTAGGGCAAGCGGTTGGGAACACTGAGCTCCAGGAACTTCAGAATTAATCTCTGCACAAACCCATCAGTGATTTCTGCTTGCTAGGTTTTTTTCTTTACCCTTTTAGGAAGCCAGGCTACAGGATGAGCTTTTCCCATGGAAGGCATATGGAATTAATTTAGATTAAGCAAGTCCCATTAAAGCACAAAGTCCAACTCACCAACCCAACCGTTACTTCCCCATCCTTCACCCTTGTTCCAGTGTGCATGGTTTTGAATATGTCCAGCAGCTCATTTCTCTGCACCAGATGGCTGAAGTTCCTGATGCTCCTGTTCTGCTCTGGCACTTCATGCTGCACTGCAGCCCCATCAGTCCTGCTTTCCATCCTCTCTGGGGCAATTGTGTTTACTTTGTCCCCACCTTCATCTTCAGAACAGGTTTGCCAGGCCTCCTCTTCATCATCTTCACAGTCTTCATATTCATCACTACTGTCATCATCACTAACCAGAACTTGATTGACAGCATGCAGAGCACTGCCTGCGGGCGTGCTTTCGGTGCTATCCTGCGCTGTGTCATCTTCCTGACTGGAGTTTTCGTCCTCAGAATCACTCGGGTCATCTGCTACGTCTTCGGTGTCTAGTTCCTGTGTGAACAGGATTTCACCGGTGAAACGTAACGACAAGGGTCTGGCTGCTGACTGCAGCTGCAGCAGCACAGCCAGCTGCGCTTTCATCGGCCACATCCCAAGGACTGACAGGTCACTGCTTACACAGCACAGGTTTAAGGGGCCTTACGTGGGACGTGGAAATGACTAGCCCATTTTAGGAGAATGACAAAAGTACTCCAAGAGGGACCGTTAGCTTCGCTGCAAAGTTGTCAGAGGCTTCTCTCCAGAAACACAACTCTGACTGCGCACACACCCACAGCATCCTTACACACAGCAGTAGCAGAGCCCAGTAATTTGGGGTTTTTTATATTATCAAGTGTTCCTAGTAATGGGAATGAATGCAAATTTTTCAAAATGTTTGGCACCCAAAGCCATTTTGTTTGAGGTCTAAATATTTCATTTAAATAATTTCAAGCAGTCTTGTTTTCAGTCCAACTCTTTAAATTTCTTGCTTGCAAACAGTTCACGTTCAAGAAGAAATACCTTTTCAACACAACAGTATTTTAACTTTTCCCAAAAAGAAAACAGAACCACCACTTTCTGTCTCGCTTTTAAACAACTGTAGAACATTTTAGCCAAAGGGCTGTAAACCAGCTGAGCAAACTAGGTAATTTTGGAAGGAGATATGGCATATTCCAAAGCTGGAAAGTGATGGCTGTAACAGATGAACCCAGTAAAATCTGAGCATGGGTTTCTTTTGATGAAAGTGGGTTTCTTTTCTATGGATGACATAACTTGGGTGGCAGCACAGTTTATTCCATTTGGGTAAAAGGGTCTCGGGTACTTTGGGTTCTCTAAGAAACATCTCCCCTCCCTCACAGCATCCCTCTTGGAAAGGATTCTGCCAATGAGCTAAGTGCTTGCAAACAGATCTACAAGGGCTGGTTCCGTAGCTACTCATCAGTAGCCTTAAGGAACAAATTCACTTTCTAGTTTAGTATTACTGATCATGTCATTAACCTTAAAAGAGAAATTAAAAGTGCTATGAACAGCGACTGAATGGTGCATCACTTGCTTCACCATTTTACTCTCCTCACTTTTGCCTGCGAATCAATCATTAAAATGCTGGTGTACAGCTGCACAAGTCCTTGGAATAAGCCTTCCTTGAGACAAGGACTCTGCCCTTCCTGGAAAGCTGCTCAGGTGTATCACAAGAACAACTACAGAGCAAGTTCTCAGAGGCAGACAGCACGTATCCCATTGGAACTGGTCATCTACAGTACCTTTGCTTCTCCGGATAGCCGTTTGCACTCTGCCAAAGCTGACCAGAACACCACCTTAACACCCTCTCTCTCGAAGAACTGTGCCCAAGCAGCCCGCTGCTCCTCACTCAGCAAATCTGCTTTGTTTATCAGGATCATGTTCTCCTTGTCATTGCTGACTTCCTTAACGTAACTTTCCTGAAGAAAATGAGAGAAGGGTCAGTTCGTGCTCTGATTTGGACTCCTCCTCCCCCCAAGGTGATACAAGAGCAGCAAGACAAGTTACCCCATCCAGCTCCACTGGAGTGTAGCTAAGCTTACCACCCTCTGGGCTAGATGGAACTGGTGCTTAGCAGCTACACGAACAAATTGGAGCATGCAACTACGGCAATACAGGTTGTTTCTGGCTGTGTGTGCAAACACCTTGTCTGCTTAGAGCTACAGCAAAATATTAATCAGCACCTCACAGCAGGAACTCCCAAGATAAACCATTTGAGCAATTTCTTATCTCATCAATGCACAACGTTCTATGGGCTACTGTCACAAAGGTGTCACTGCAATAATTCTTAATCCTTCACTTTCAGCACAGCAATCCTCACTTATTTTTACTCTAGTATGCTTTTAAACAGAACAGTTGCGTTAAGGGAGGGCACTTCTAGTGGGAATGAGGCACACCATCATATCTGCAGTATAACGTTTGCAGAACGTCCTCTAAATTCACAACACACGGTGCGAAATATCCAAAAACCATTGAAGAAAAGTAATTTGATGCCGAAATACTTGCATAAATAAATAAGATAGCCAGTGAGGCACAAGAGCAGAACACCTTAAAAGATGGCTGAATGCATTAAACAAAAAATAAATCATATAAATTCTAAGAAACATAACAAAGACAACATTCAAGAAAGTAGTTTCCTTACCAGGTCTTGGCATCTAAACAGAAGGGGGTTTCTAGCATCCACTATCTGGACTACAATATCACTGCAAAAATAAAACAAAGCCCCATGAAGTACCCCCTTCTTGCCTTGCCTCAAAGAAAACAGCAAGGCACAGCACATCACTCCCTTTTAGGTTCTGCTTGGAATGGATGGATTTAACTGTATTACCCTAATAAGTAACTTTAATGGATTAACAAAGCATCTCAGCACCCCACATGCCTCAACAGAGCCACGCTTATGCCACAGGCCAGTACTGCTGAACAGCACTTCTGCCTCCCTTGGCTAATTCACCCGTACAGCTGGCAAGGGGAAAGGAAGCACGCGAGCTTTGCCAACCCACCTACCCTTCAGAAAGGCTCAGCAAGCAAGAACCAGAGTAGTGGTATTCCATCCTTTAGAATGTTACTAAAAAATGTGGTAACACAACTTTATTTCGGTCTATTCTCATCCCCAAACTGCAGTGGAGTGGCTACAGGGAGGAAGAGGAGGTGATTTTCCTACACAGCGAGATATTCTGGAACACTTGTCCCCTTTGCATGGGGCAAGATGTACAATATCTCCCACAAATGACCTGCAGATTCTAAGCATTTTCTATCAGGTGTTTTTAGGCTTTCCTTTGTGCTATTCTTGTCATAAAAAACCAAAAACCAGTAAACAAAGAGTCTTAGATCCCAGCAGAACACCTTGCTCCCCATGCAAGCAAGGCCTTGCAAGTGTGCTTTTAGGAAACATCTTCCAAATGCAGATAACAGGTTACCACCACATATATGAGCAAGACTCATTAGTTCTACACTCAAATTAAACCCGCTGGCCTCAGACATCAGAGGCATCCGTGCTTCTCTTTCCAAAAGGAGGGGGAACATTTAACTACAGCCTCTTCCACTAGAACTTCTCCAGGCAGGTAATTTAAAATTCTGGTTGCCATGTGCTGTTTCTATTTGTCTGAGAGGGATTTCTGTTAACACAGGACAGCTTCAGAACACCACGGGTTGATGGAAGAATTTCAAGCCTCACTAGGCAGTTGGTTACACACACAAAAAAAAAAAAAAAAAATCAATAAACCCCCACAGGGAGTAATTTAATAAGCTTCATGGGTACAGACTGGTACTGAACAGTTACAGAAATTCAAAGATCAATATGAGAGAAAGCTGACACCACGGTACTGTGATGGGATACAGAGTAGTTACTGAATCACACCACTGGGAGCTAGTTTGAAGCAAACACAAGAAAAGGCTGAAAACACATCAAATTATCCGTCAAGGCAAGGGACTGGACAACTTTTCCGTTCAATTCTGAGACAGCATCCTCACTCCACATGAAATACAAAGGTCCAACAAGAGCAGAAAGGCATTAATAACACATTCCAGCCACTTCCAAGCACACAATACACTCACACGGCACATCATGATACCCTATAGCAGACACTCCCGACACAGCTGTCTCCCGGCCAAAGGCCCAGCAGCACCCAGTACAAAGCCACTTCTGTGAAAGGACCAGCTCACCATGACCTCACTGGTGAGGTATTTTTCAATTTTAGGAAAATCAGACAAGATGATCTCAAACTTAATTACTAGTGAAATTAAATGCTTCAGTTAGATTAAGGTAGCAGATAGCACTCCTATTGTATTACAGCTCGGCAGAGCAAACAAAGCTATTTCTGTGGCATGACAGCCCGCTGTCTTTTGTGCACTGTTGCAATTTCTCTGCATGGCAAGAGGCAGAGGCTCTTTCACAATGTTTAGTTGATCTCCCCTGCCTCCTGCCCCTGAGCATCAGGCTGCAGCTGTGTGGTTGAGAAAGAGGGGAAAGGGCTAATCTTGGCAAAAGACCTCAAAGCCACACTCTCAAGAGAGGCCTCCCACAGAGAGCTACTGGAAAAGGCCAAGAGCAGCAGCATCTGAAGAATCAGAGACTGAAGATTCAGCAAACCCGCCTGCCGAATCACAGTGCTGAGGGCTAGCGTGCACCACGAAGCAGCTGCCCTTCTTCACGTCACATTTTTATCACTTCAAAACAAAAATCACTCCAGTGCTGCCAACAAAACATTACTAACTCTAATTGTTCTTCCTGTGCTCAGACACTCGAAGCTTGACTCAAAAGATTCAATTCAGGAAAACACATTAAACGTTATTTTTAAAAAACAGATAGCCATACAACTTACCTTTTTTCAATGACTCTCCAAAGCTGCCGCCAAAATTCCAAGTTTCGCTCAAATGGGGTTAGAATTAACTTTTTTTCTTCCTCAAGGCTAAAGCAAAACAGAAAAAAAGAGACATCATATTTGGCCCACGTCAGGCAATCAGTACACCACCAGTTCTTCCTTAGATCCAGGAGGTTTTAGTTTCAGAGAGCTACCAATTCAGACTCATATAGTGGATACTATTTTTGCTAATTTTTGCAAATAGGTTCAGCAATGGCTCCTGATCATGCCAATGGAGAAGTGGGAAATGATGGAAAGAACAGGAACTCAATAAAAGTCTGCCCGTGAAATTTCAGAGCCAAAACAATAAGCCAGAGAAGTTACCCAAATGCCAGCAGTTATTACTCAATCCAGTACCATCTGGAAAAAATAAATTTGGGGATGGTACCTGAAATGCCTCTGTACAACCCCTGACTTGTTGTTACCACTGCCTGAAGGGCTTTACTCAGGGCAAGTGTAGGCTCAGAGTGTGAGCAGATACCACCTAACCCTCCAGGCCAGCAGATGCATGCAGGCTGGCGGCACTGCGCTCTACTCAGAGCAGCACTGCTGCTCTCAGAGGATACACTCACCACTCGCCCACTTCACAAGGCAAGAGCACCACATCACACTCCAGCCTGAAGAATTTTAACTGTAAAGAGTACAAGAACGTGCGCACGCAAGAGTGCTTTGCAGAGCTCAACAAGAAAGATGCGTCTGCACTGTGGCTGAGCTGTCCAACCTTCCAAAACAATTACAGGTAGCTACTGACAAGATGTTCATTTCATAGGTCCAGCAAGGACAAATACACTCCGCTGCTTCCTGTGTCTCCAAATCCCACCAGCTACCTACCCAGATGGCATACTCACTGGGCAAGCTGTCGCCTCCATTCGAGAAAGCTCTCCCTCTCAGCTTGCTTCAAGTCCTCTGCACTGGTTGTCCTATCCCAATGTGGCCTGTCACAATCACATTTTGGAGAGGTCAGAAGTAGTGCTCAGACCAACTACATTACTGCAACAAAGCTTTAAGTACATTTTTTTAACCTGTCCCTTCTAAATCTTGTAGCAGAGACAACGCTATCCTATACACACAAAGCTGTTTTTTCAAGCTAAGATTTGTAGGGCATTTAAGATGTAGAATTCATCTTCCTGCCCACCACACACAGACTGCTGGAAAGGCTTCCCAGGTCACCTGGATGCATCAGCTCCAAGAGTGCCAGGCTTTGAGCAAGAAACCCATGCCATCAGGACAGATGTGCTGGGACAGGCAGGCACCGGATCTGCGGGCCCGTAGTGGCTTCCCCAAAGCAGGGTATGGACAAAGCAGAGGGCTGTCCCCAGGCATGCAGCCACCAAGGGTCAGAGGGGATCCAGGCCCAGCCTGGACTCACCTCCGTGGGATGCGCAGGAACTGCCGGTTCTCCTCATGTAACTGCTGGACACGCTGGGCCTCCTGTGCCGTGAGCAGGCCAGTGCGGCTCTGGGCAGACACGATCTGGATGTTCAGACGCTCTGCAGGAAGACACAGACAGTCACCAGAGAGACAGCTGCCCACCCCCCTCCCTGCCGCC